GAGGAATCCCAAAAACAAGAATTAATCTTGACTTATTGCTCAGACATGGCAGACCCTGTACACCCAGAAAGATTCCTTGTTCTTGAGGTGCTCATGTCAAAAGCTGTTCAGGAAATGCCAAACATTAGCCTTTTGGCCACATTTGTGTTTAGTAAAACATTGTGAAGTTGTAGCTCTGCTCATGAGTAAAATTAGTAAGTGATGTTGTCTTCATGTTATAAACACTCAGGTTAAATTGAACAAAGAGTGAGCAGAGATTTATGGTCTCCAGTTGTTGGTCTAGTTCAAGCCAGGGTGTGAATATGTGAAACTGCATCATCTTCTAAAGCTCTTCAAACAAATACAAGGCATTTATTAATGTATTGTTTTAACAACAGTGTCCTTGTTTGCACTTACTTTTGGAAAAGAAGGGCTGATGTACCAGTTTTGCATTAAGCAACTGCAGCAAAAAATGCCAGTGGTGCTTAATGTGTCCTAAGAATAAACAGAGGTGAACCCTGTATTTGAAAATAACTAGCGGCTGTTCTGATATATGACATAACCATAGACAAAGTTTCTATTTAAACTATCCTTTAAAAATAGAAAGGGCAGAAACTCCTGGTTGTATGTGTATGTTGCTACTTGCTATCTTTGCTGCTGTATGAAGACCTGCCTCAAAGACTTCACTTGATTGCGAGACAAGACTGGAGAACGAATAACTAAGTTACTCACACAGGTCTGTTGCACTCCCGTACTGCGCTCTTGATCCCGCCACCGCACGTTCGTGAGCAAGTCCCAAATGGACTCCAGACTCCCCAGGACCCATCCACGGGCGCAGCATCATGGTCTTTGACTATGCACAAGCCATGCTTGCAGTGCTGCATTGACGGAAGGATGGAGAGAACCCAGAGTCAGAGTAGGGACAGAGGTGGATTTAGATAAGTGAAAAAAAGTTCCCAATCAGAACAACACCGACAGACAGCACTGGCACCACATCTGTCTGCTCTGCCATGGTTTGGTGCTGATCTGGGGGATGTTTTACAGTGGGAGCAGATTGGAAGGGAAAAGAAATTGACTGAAAAAGACATTTATGACAGTCTGGCTGGACAGGAGACAGAAAAATGTCAGAGACATAGTCAATAAATATATCACAGCTCATAACAAAGGATAATCTTACGCCATCTCCGCAAACAGACCCCAGATTAAGAGGTTTTTATAGTGTGGTGTAGTATGGCTTGGCATGGGACGAGAGTTTGGTGTAAACACAAAAAAGGTTCCAACATGTGTTGCACGGATTATGTGGCTTTCATGTTCGCTCAGTCTTAGTGGCAGGAAACACAGGGTTAGCGAGAATGTCTTAAATTAAATGCTGCGCAGAGACCAGACGCTCTGAAAGCAACTATCACTCAGTGTGACACGGCAGCTACGTGCCAGTGAAGTGGATTTATTTAACTTGACGAACGTCAATGGCACGCTCACGCCTTTGGACGACTTTCCCTCTGACATTTTTGTCCCTACTCCCTCAAATTAAAACGTCTGTGAAGCATTTCATGGTCGTAGAGTAAAAAGATCAAAACATCTAACGGCGGTGAGGACGGTCATATCACGTTACAGGAACAATCAGAGTGTTAAACCACAGTATTTCTTTCTACTTCAAATCCCATTTTCTCCTCACACAGATGAGTAACTTCCCCAAGAAGAGCATTTAAAGAGCCACAAACAACGAGTCATTTCATGTATTCACTCCTTTCATCACATAACACTCACTTTCCCAGGGGCACAGTCAGTGCCGTCTGCCCACGGCATGTGCTGGGTCCTGCATCCCTGCTGGGCCCCCTCTGGACTGGTGCACCACAGTCTCCGGCACTGGGTCTAACAAAGACACACGTGCATCAATACATTGTGAATGACAACACTTCGGAAAAGAAAACAAGGCAGCCTAAAAATCAGAACTTCTGAATTAATCATCAAAACAATAAAAACACAGTGGAGTTCTGAACGTTTTTAAGTACAGCACAGAAGTCCTGCAGCCAGCCTTACACAACGGTGCCGCCTCATGTGCAACAAGACGGTTCCAGCTCTACGCACACAGCGACTCCACTTACCATGTATGGGCACACCTGTGTTCCCGGCCCGAATATCAATTCACACTGTTTATTGACGCTGTATATCTGTCCAGGCAGCTGCTGCTGGAGACTGTACGGCGTAGAGAGAGGTTCGTCCAGCAGGCATTCACCGTATCCTGTGCTATTGAGATACAAGAATACAATTTATTTTAAAAAGATAAGAACTGGGGAAAGAAAAAGACATAAAGAGAGAAAACATAAAAGAATTACTTCCACCTGTTGAACCAGACCAGGGTGTTACTGTGTTGACAGTTTGGAGAATAATAGCATTTGTTCACACAGTGTGTGAATGTCAATACAAAAAGTCTTTATGGTTTAAAAGTATAGAAGGATTTTAGTGAGTTGCTGGACTCTCCTGTTTATGTTTCCTTGGTTTTACAGCCAGACTCAACTCCCCACCATGAAGTCCTGTTTAAGCTCAGAAAGATTGATTAGCTTGACTGCTAAAAGCAGAACAACAAACTTCTTGGCTAACAGTATTTTCTTTTACTGATAGCCAAGAAGGGATTTGAGGTAAAATTGCACTTAGAGTCTAACTCTGATAATGTTGACGTCTGAGACTGTATATACTGTAAGAAACGGACAGAGCTACCTATGCTTTTAGTTCTGTCAGGGTTAAACTATGGGAGAGCACAGCTGGTTTAGGAAGAAACAATGTGTGCATGTTCTTCTGTGGGAAAAGGCAGATTTCCCCTGGATTATTAATGACATTCTGAAGAAAATCAGGATTCTTTACACCTAATCAGAGAGAGTCAGACTCAATGACCCTGTAACTGCAGCTGTAATACTGCAGGGACGTAGCTCTGTCCAGTTTTTATGTATGGTCTAAGGATGACAAAGTAGCGGCTAGCTCAGCCGTGGGCTTGACTCATGGGCCACAATCGTCCTAAAATTGAACAGAAGGGCCGGGTCAGGAGCAGACAGATGGAGCGTTGGTGTGAACTAAGGTAACTGACATGTAAAAGTCCTGCATAAAGGCTAAACTGGTAAAATGCTTTTATTATTTTCTACGCCATCTATTGGGAAATGGTGGGCGTTACAGGGAAAAGGCAGAAGCATGATGATAATATAAATATATTCTATAATTTGGAAAAGGTTTGGATTAAAAATTGAACGGGCCGCATCCGGCCCCCGGGCCTTAGTTTGTCCATGCCTGGGCTAGCTGAAGCGCACATGCTAATGTATTTAGTCATTTCAGTCACTACATCATTAATATTCAAGACAAAATAGTACTGCAGTGACAAGGTTAGCATCATCTGGTTTTTAAGTACTGAGAACTGTGTATTTATAGTTCTCACATACTGGGATTAGCCAATGTGCCTGGGTCTAAAGTAAATACCCAACTTTCCCATCCTTGTGTGTGTGTGTGTGGTATTGGTATAGCTACTTGTGGGGACATTTTTTTGTTTTGATGACTCTGTCCTTGTGGGGACATTATCAGGTCTGACGAGGACAGAGGGTATTTTGACATTTACAATGTAGTCTAGTATTAGGATTGATAGCGTGAGGGGCTAGAGAATATATTTTGTCTCTGTGACAAACTCACAACTCATGAAAGCCAGACTGTGTGTGTGTGGTGATTGTGTGATAAATTTGGCTCATGTCACCTAAATCTGATCAGAGCTTCAAAGGTCGTATAATTCCGTCATATATTTGTATTTTTAGAACGCGTCCACTGTTTCCACATTATCATCTTTGCTTTAAACTCTCAAGCATCCTGGGAACAAAAGAAGGAATAAAAGGCAGTGACATACTCAAGGAACTCTGTGATGTACTTCCTGCTACACTTGGACCACATCCAAGGGTTTGTGTTGTAGTTGAGCATGGGAGCCATCACGTGCTGCTGAATCTTAACTCCGTCCTCCCTGCACTTAAGGCTGTCGTCATGAGGCATGTTGAACCTAGCAAGGAAAATACCAAAACATGCCTGAGTGCCACACAAACACTGACGTTGCTCAGCTGCTAACTGCTCTAGAAGGGCTTGAATGATGTGATGGTTCAGAGATGGCTCGGTCAAATTGGAACTGTCCCAGCAGTGTTCTGGCTGCTTACTGAATTTGGAAAAGCAGCTATGTACAAAATAAAGTGAGTGATTATGTCAAGAAAAGTTGTAATTAATGGTAAAAAGGATTTTTTTTCCAATAAACAATAAAACCCCAGTGGTCTTTTGAAGAATGGCCTCAAGGAGTAAAACCCAGGCTCCAATGTACAATGGAGACAGAATAGCTGAACTATTATCTGCATAAATCTACCTGAGATTTGTATTTAGTTTGCACACGCACAGGTGCATGAACTGTTACAACATCATATTAAATCACGATAAAAGCGAACACCATTATTTCACATTTTTTGCATATGTGTCCAAATCTAGAAATGTGGCCAGTTACAGATATTTCAAATATTACCTAAACCAGGATATGAACGTTCATTAGAAAAGTAGTATGAATACTCACACGTGGCCAAGTTCATGAGCAATGGTAAATGCAGTACTCAGTCCACTGTCCTCGCTTATACTGCAGCTCCTGTACGGGTCACACACCGTGCCCAACTCTGCAAGACCTGGGAAACAACACGTTCAGCATGAAAACACAAAGTATAACACAAAATCCTTGCACAAGCATCCAGGACCAATGAAAAGGCAGCTCATGAAGGTGGCCAATCACGGAACCTTAAAAAAACATAATCCTCTCACCCAAGGTGTCACACTTGTCTCTTGCTCTGCAAATGTCCTGTCTGTGATGAAGGAAAAGAGAACAACAGAAGGTCACTTCAATTTCAAAATAGCAGCCACATTAGATCATGTAAATAACAGTAAGTACATGTTTATAACCCATCAAAGTGTGACAAGTACTCCCAGTCGGAGTATTAGTCTTTACCTGGTGATGAGAATGGCAGTGTCATGATGTGAGTGGTGGCTGTCGTCCTGCGTGTTCTGGCTCTGCTGCCAAATGCAGAAGTTCTTTAAAGTGGTCTGTGCATTAAAAGAAATCGCCGGACCATCCTACAAATGACACATAAAAAAGAGCGACGGGGGCGTCACTACAGCTAGAAGTTTAGAGAGTGTGTTTTACATACAGAAGATATTATGCTGCGTTGTAAAACTGTTGTCAGCATCACTCCATCTACTACTCACAGACAATGTCTGCTTTCCATCATCTGCATGTCATTCCTCCGGAACCAAAATGTTCCTAGTTCACAATTCCACCAGCACAAAGGGGGAATTAATAACACCACATTTATCTAAAGTCCAATTGTTTTATACTGTCTGAGCAGACCAACAGAACCAATTTCTATTACCATTAAACTGTTAATGGAGTTAATGATCATCCACTGATTATAAGGCTTTACTCCAACTTTTGTCTATTTTCTTTGGGAGCATCCAGCAGCTCAGATTTTAAACCAATCACTTGGCTGAATAACCAGGAAGTAGTTAGTAGTTAGTTTTTGCATCTCTACTTTAAAGCACCCTTACCAACTCGTTGTTTAATATGACTAACTTCACAATCACAATGTTGATCAGGTTGCCGATGCTGGGGTCCTTGTAGATAGAAGACACCTGGAAAAAACAAAAAAAACATGTATCCCATGAATCTTTCCATCAATCCGTCCTAATTCCCTGTTTTGAATCTCACATTTTTTAATTTGTTAGGTTTTCTTCTGTACATTTTGTCTGGCACAGCTCACACCACTAGTTTATGGACTTGCGACCTTATAGATGTACAACATACTGAGCCCCGTTTGAACCATTAATGATGAAAAGACAAAAGAGGTTGGTTTTTTTTTTTACATTTTGTTTGACGCAACTAGTGCGTCTAGTGCAAATGTGTGTTTGTCCATGTGGACTTTTGTTTGATTTCAGTGTCGTTTAGAGTTCATTTTTTTTACTTGTTTTTCTGTAATTGTGGTCGAGTTTTCCTCTGTGGTGTCCTTTGTTGTTTGAAAAATGTTTTAGGCTCGGTGCCTTTTACATGCCTTTTTGTCTCGTATTCAGATTTCTGTCTTTATTGAATGTTTTTGGGAGTTTTTTCACACTTTCAACACACAAGACAGTGACTCTGCATTTTTTTAAAAAAATGAAGTTTGACTGATTGGAAATTAAAGTTGATGATGATCTCATGACCTCTGCCAAGAACAGGATATAGGTCATCTAATCCTCGCTCCCTGTGAGGACTGCTCCAAGAGCCTTTGGACGGCAGTATTTGAAGAGGCGGTGAGTATGTGGTCTATGTGACATACCTGCGCTTATTTTTTAACATTCATCTTGCTGTCAGACATTAAGCTGCCCTCTTTCACCCCGGGCCGTTTGAAGGTGGTGTTTACCTCTGCCCTGGGCTGCCCTTTCCCTCCACTGACCCGTCTCCAAAAGACTGCCTCAGTAAATTACACCAACACAGACAGCAAAGTAGAATAGATACATAGAGGGTGTGCAGGAGCGGGGTCTTAACCCAGGCTTCTCTCTGGGCTGCCTTTTTATCGGTGTCATTCCAGGATGGCGTTTTTACATCCAAGTACAACAAATGAATGCCATATTTAATAGAAATTTTTCTGTGAGACTCTTGAATTAAAAGTGAAGAGAAGGACTTCAGAAAACATAAGCAACAATCCAGGCCTTTACTCTTGGAACAAGACGTCATGACAAGATAGCTTCGCAACATGGCACCCTAGATAAAGGAGAATGCTCTTCTACAGCTGGTACAAAGGCTTAAGCAAAACGTTTTTGTTGGACTTGTAACTAAAGCATCTTCACAAAGAGTTTCACGCAGTAAGAAGGAAAGGAGAAAAAAAAAGTCAAACTTACGATGGACATTAACGTGAGGACGTAGTGCTGCAGGTTGCTGCCATGATGCTCCACCATTCTACTGTCGGCCACCAGCATGACTTCAACGAAGCGCGGGTAGGAGAGGAAGCGTTTTGATCTCCTGTGAGGTCCTGAGTCGCCACTGCTATCATTTGACGGTCTAGAGCCGGTGCCGCCGTCGCCACTCTCTGTTGATCCGAGTAAAGCCTTGTCAGCCAGGCCTGAACTCAGTGACTCCAAGTCACTGAACATACCAGCGCTGACCACAGGAGCTGCGTCAGACACAGTGGTCCCCGCGGCCACTGGTCGTCTCCTCGGCTTGTGCCTTTTCTGTTTGTGTTTGTGTCCTAGAAAGAGAGCGAGACACAGACAGACGCCAGAGGGACGTGTAAATATACAAATATGAATGGCTGATGGGAGATCCATTCACGCAGACAAAGACAGACATGGTATGAATGCACGTTTGTCACAAGGAAGTGTTTACAAGCAAACCAAACATGTGGTTTCTCTCTTCAAAGATGGAGATGCATGAAGTGAGTTTGCCATCCTGAAACAAGTACTGTTGATTTAATGTTGGTGCCTATTTTTCTGTCTTGTTTATTGTTGCTGAAAGTCTGACAAATGGGCACAGCCTGGAGAGTCTCGGTGTTACTCCCTCTCTCTGTCTGCTGGACACAGGGCAGAGGGTTCAGACCAGGTAAACCTGGCACTCGTCCATTAAGAAAAATGGAGCATATAGACCAAAGGGAGGTCTGTCCATGAATCTGACCACAAAACCTCTAAACCATCAGTACCAAACCTGATTTTAATTACATTTGGCTGCGGAAAAGCTTAATCCCAGTCTGCTCTAGGCATTTTCTCAGCAAATGCACATCACCTGTTGGTGACCACGAGTAGTGCGTCCTTCATTTCTTTATTTAACAGCTTTACCTCAGGCGTCACTCTGGTTTTCTACAGTTTCCACTCCTGCACGTTCACGGCCGTGGGTCTACCCTGCATTTCTTATCAAAGAGGCAGAGGAAGTGTGAGAGTCAACAGGAAGTTCAGCCTGTAAACTGAGATGGGACGATAAAAGGGTCATCTTCCAAAATTATTTTTTTCCTGTGTGGGTTCAAATGCTCGGATGCTGCAACAATTGCAGGAACTACAGAGTGCAGCATGATCTGCTGTCAATCTCTTTGAATCAATACACGTTTTTTTCTGGTTAAAAAAAAGTGCTACAGGTTTGTGTCTAATGTAAAAAAAAACACGTTTTGGCTAAGACTACAATCATCCTTACAGATGCCCAGCTAGGTCAGCGGGTAGAGCATGAGAATCTGGGGGTTGTGGGTTCAAGTCCCACGCTGGGTGTCCAAGCTTCAGTCGTTCCATAGCGTACGGTTTATAATGCCTGTTTTACACACAGAAGGTCCTGTGTTCAAACCCCAGAGGACCCACATACTTAACGGTGCCTCCCAGGGCAGCCGGTGTCAGTTGCGAAGACTGTAGGCCGAATAAAGGGCACAATTATTAACCAGTCATGCTTTGCAAAGCATTTCCTACTTTTTCCCCTTTGAAAGTCCTCAATATCCAGAATCCTGCTTGTATTGCTTGTTTAAAGCAGATAAGCTGCAAATGGTTCCACAGTAGCATGGCACAATTATTGAAATAGCTCAACTGGCTCAGCTGCTGTGACATAATCTGCTAGGATGTAATGAAGAAATTATATCTGCTGACGTCTGTGGGAAACTAGTTAAAAGGTTAACTAAAACATGCAAACATTTGTTTATACACATGCAGCCACTTTGGTCATGTATTTCTGCTTACAATACCCGACTGCATGTCCAATGCAATAGAAGTTTCCTGAAGTGTGCTTTTCCTAGAAATCCAGATGTTTCAGCAGCTTGTTATTTTAAAATCTGATTTGAACAACATAAAAGAAGCAGAAAGATTGGATTAAGTGTCAAATCTTAATGGATTAAACTCTATAAGTAACTAAGTCTTTACCTTCTGGTTTAAATTTACAATAGCTCCACGTGTTAGAAGCATTTGTAAGCATATTTAGTGTAATGAGTAATGAGTCAGGGTTTTTTCTTGTATACAGAATTTGGTGGTGGCCACCACCAGTTTACAGCTCAGTGTTTATAATAGGAAATTGCATCAGAAGGTTGGGATGTCATGTGTAACTGCAGTTGCATGCTGTCCCCAGTTGTGATGGTGGCGCTCTGTCACAATTTGCACATGAACTGGTTCTCTGAACAGAGAGTCACTCACCAATAAAACAACAATCCTACCTCAGTGGGAGGTCTTTAAGTTGTTCTTTTGTTTGTTTGGGATTTTTATAGTTCAATGATGCTCATTAAAAATAAATAAATAATATGATATAAAATAATGCTTTCTATATTTTAATCATGTCTTTACATCTCCTGAAATATACTTCTTGTAAAGCCTTTGCTTGAACCCACAATCAGGTACCGCCAGCCCCTGGTTTTAAGCCAGGAAAATCCCTGGTACTTTGCATCTATAATCTGTACACATCAGTAGAAAACAAACTGAAATCCCAACAACAGACGGTTGCACAAGTTTACACAGTCTCTTGTGACTTGTGGCTGTGTTTAGAATTGACTAATAACGTAGTTGATACACACCTGTCATCAATGAAATTGACCCTGACTGATCCCAAATAAAGTTCAGCTGTTATAGAAGGATTTTCTTAGCCATCACTAAGTTGTATCCCGTAGCTAAAGTCAAGGTTTGCCAAGTGCTTACAACGTACCAGATGAATATCATTTTAATAGGTATTGCTCAAGAGAAGATCGCAACACAATTTGCAAGGTTCTGGAATGCCATGGAACACACCAAAGTCATTATTGTTAATAGGATAAGGCACGAAAGTAACATCAACAAAAAAGTCCCTCAAGAAGAATAAAAACACCAATAGAAAACTGATACGTAGTGCTAAACCTAAACTAACTCCATCTACTCTGCTAGCTATTACATTAGGTATCCCAGAAACATGCAGAAAATGTTACCAGAACCACTGTGCCAGAGACAGACATTACTGGTCTTGCAAAGTCACGAAGTTGCTCGAGACACCTGAGATAGCTGTCTCAACTTTTGAAAATATAACATCTGTCTTACAGCGTTTTGACGTTTTTTTTTCTGTACAACAATTGCCAGTACTGCGTGTATAATACTCCATACCTGAAGTGTCACAAGCCGAGTTTTCTTCAGACGTCTGTTTTGTCATGACAATCTTCTTGTAAACAATATGAGGTTTTGTGTGTTCCTCTTCATAGTGTTCTCCTTCATAGCTGTGTAGGGGTTCCACAAAATATTCCCCATCTGGAGACCTGAAAGTGCCAAGCTAGAGGACAGGGGCACAGTGCGATGCATTAGACAACCATATATTCAAATGGAAATAAAAACATGTGAAGGACATTTGATACAGAACTAGGGAAACATGTCATTTAATTAACCTTTTAGAAATAAACCCAACCAGCTGCCATACCACACACTGACATATTGTACCTTACTTAAAATCTACGCAGTCAACACTGCTGGAATTCGGCTCATTTACGTCTCATTAGACAAAAATAGGCAACACCTTAAAAATGGTGAAATAGTTTGTGTGCATTATTAGGTTAAACTGTCCATGTCAGAAGTGTGATGGTTATCTGGATTTAACAATGAGACTGTATGTTCTTGATAAAGCACGCTGAAAGACTTATGGTATGTACTTCACACAGCATTCAAGCTGAGAATGCTAACTGAGCAGGTCTGTAGACCTTTATCTGGAACAGTCATCAAGTGACCATCAGTGGAACCATATAAGCAACAAATAGATACAAAGAAAAAAAGAAAAAAAACAGGATGAAGGCAGCAGACTGTCAGGAGTGATGTATGGTATAGGAACATGCTACTGATTCTTAAAGACAAGAGGCTGAGTTGGGAATGGTGAAGTTGGAGAGGTTGAGATTGCGTTTCGTTGGGAGAGAGAGAGCTGCCTGGTGGAACGGAAACAGGAAGAAGATTTCAAAGATGGCAGAACGGGAGATGTAAAGATGGGGGTACAGTACAATGAAGGGAGGCGATGAGATGGAGGCAGATGACCTGCTCTGTTGACCCTCTGATCTATCTTGCTGTCACTCAGTCAACTTTGGACATACTTTTTATTCAGATTTAATTCATTCTTTTTTTTAACTTACCCTAAGTCAACTCATTGGTGATTTATTTGCTTATCAATGTGAAACTTTTTTTTTGTCATTCTAAAACTTAGAGACATGTTGGACATACTTTTTATTCAGATTTAATTCATTCTTTTTTTTAACTTACCCTAAGTCAACTCATTGGTGATTTATTTGCTTATCAATGTGAAACTTTTTTTTTGTCATTCTAAAACTTAGAGACATTGTAGACATTATTAGCAATGCCATCAGCTCTGTCCACCATAGGAAAAGACAGACCTTACTGAGCCCTTAAAATGCCTTAAAGCAGGAAGGAAATGAAATAAGTGCAATACCACTGTTGGCCAACAGAAGTTTGGTCGAAACAATATTCAAACACAGGCTTAAAGACCTTCTGTTGAAGATCTGATGAGAGGTGAGAAGGTTAAAGAACTTACCAGTCCAGAGCACAAACTGATGACTGCAGTGTGTTGAGACTTTGCATTTACATGTCCTTTATAAAAGCAGTGCTTTAACTCAGTGTCCTCCTCATCTGTTTTGTCTCCAGTAGAATCCGTTAGGTTATCCCTTTGGGGTATTCCAAGTATTGTCACAGTGTACAAAGGTGCAATAAATCCCGAGTCCAGCGTAAGGTTGAGGTCAAAGTTCTGTCCAAAGGCAGATATCCTGTAGTGGATGTCTGGTGAGGCCCAATGATCTGTACTATCCTCCGCGCCTTCTTCAAGACTCCGTCTTTTCCTCTTGAAATGAACACTGTTAGGAAATTTGTCACCGGCTCCATTAACCCGCACCGGCGTTACAATTTCATAGGCACCCAATTTCTCTTTCGCTGCCAGAAAAAAAAGACACAATAGGAAAAATGCAAGTTAGTTTCATTGATCTTAAAATCAATCTCTTTGGACAAAGATATTGTCCATGTTTGAACAAAGGAGAGGCTCTCAACCCATAGCACAGAGCCAACTGTGGCTCTCTACTGCATTTTTGTTTTTTTTAATCCAACTATAATTCATGCTATGGTGAAATGATCTTGTACATAAATCAAGAGTTATACAGAAAAAGCATCATGGAGTTTATGTCCTCTCCTTCCCTAATTGCCTGAAACAGTTACCAACTGATTAAAACTAAACTCAGTAAATCTGTGGAGTGAACTGAAGAGCAAATATCAAAACTTATAAACTTGAAAAAAAACTTGATACATTACAGGATTTGCCCACTTTTCACTGTGTGAAGTCTAAACTGAACACATGCATTGTTAATGATGCTGCATTAATGCGAAAAACTGTTTTAAAGAATGTCAACTGTATGTTAAAAACACTTAAATATTTTCTGCCAACATGTTTAAACAGCAAAAAGTTAGAAATATTACCAGTGTAACTAAGTATACCTGCGGTTTATAGATGAAAGCATTTGAAGTACTGTACCATACTTGTCAAAGTATTCCGATGTCTTACCACTTTTTTTGTGATGATTAATCACACGATAATATCGAACATCGACCTACCTCTAGCCATGCGCCCCCTTCAAAAACTCATTCATTCTGTCTATAACAAAGAAACACAGTACAAGGGAGAGCGGAGGAGAAAGTGTCGAACGTCTTTACCTGGGCTGGAACTCCAGAGTGAACTCCCTGCAGATGCTGCTAGGTTCAGGAGCTGTGGGAAAAGCAGGACCCGCAAGCCCCAGAAGAGCACATGCATGGTTGTCCGCGTTCAGAGAGGAGCAGTGCGGCAGCCTGCGCTCCTCTGCTGGCTAGGAAGTTCCTAAAACACCGGTACTTATTTCAAATAAAACAAGACCACGAATGATGTGAATGGTTGAAGACAGTGTTCCAACGCTCCGTCTGTACTGTCTCAAGGTTTCTTTTCCAAGTTCACTTTTTTCAGAGCTTTCCTTCTTAATTGACTATCCTCGACTCTAGAGCCGTCTCTGGTCTCCGGGCGGTGCAGTGACTTCTCTGCTGGGACGTGAGCGCCGGTCCGCGGACTCCTTGCTCCACATGCATGCTGCTGCTGCTGCTGTTGCAAGTCAGTGAGGCTCTCTCCCCCTCTCTGTCTCTCTCTAAATCCCCTTCCCTCTCTCTCCTAACAAAATAGGCGGGATCAGTAAAGGAAGGAAAAGGTGCACTTACTGAAAGTTTCCCTTACAATTAGAAATCCATCACTCACTTATGAATGATTCATTATGACCATAACTGTATGTGACGTAACGCTACATCCAACCGAGGACACACGATATTGGGCTTACCAAACGACGCGATGTTTCGAGAATATTTTTAAGAAATCGTTAAAAATAAAATATTTCATTCTTAGAGGTTTTACCACAAATTCCTTCACATCATAGGATGTTCCTTTCACTTGTGAATGTCATTTATTACTGAAGGTTTAATTTTGTTTTCTTTTTCTTATGGGGTACAAATGTTTTATTAAAAAAAGAACAATTTTATACTTTTGTAAGATAAATCAATAGTTAAATAAATGAATATGAATTAAATGTGAATAATATCTTAGGTTGGAGTAGATTAGTGTATATTACTGTAGATTATATTAGATTGAACATTATTGATTCCACACTGGAAAAATTGTTGTATTGCTGCAATAAACCGATGGAGAAAAAAAAAGACTGTACAAACAAAACAAGTGAAATCTGGAAACATACATGGTTTATCAAACTTTGCTGGAAAATGAATTCATGATGCCTATAAATTGCATTTGGTCCACTGATTTAATTTCTCCCCTTGTTTATATTTTGGGAAATTCATGTAAAGTTTTTTAAAACATACCAGAAATTGCAGACAATTTCTAGCTGACAAATTCCAAAGCAACTGGGACATGGTTAATGTGGACAAGCCCATGTGCTCAGAAGATCAAGGGATCAGAGAGTGAAAAAAACAAACCACTATTGTAGCACAGAGCTGTATACAGTAGAGATCTTAAGACACTGCCGTAAACTACTTTCCATGGGAGAATAATAGTAATGGTTTTATGATGGTGATATGGTGATTATCACATCACAACAATGCTACAGGTTGTATTGAGGCCTTTGTAATGTTGGTATTTGAATGATCAAAGCCTTGGCTAGTGGGTCAGTCGGCCCGAATACCCACCCCCATCACACACAACCTCACGCACCAGACTCGACACACAGAATACACACTCCATCCTAGTAAGTGCTAACAGTTGATGGGATGGGGTTAAATTAGCAGTGACTCAGGGCTAATGGTCCTAATAACACTTAGTTCTGATCTTGACATTGAAATTACGCTGTCTTTCACGGCTTGACGTAAATATTGACCATGAAAGAAGTTAGCCTTGAGGTAGTGGACCAAGGACTGCAAGTTAATTATAGCTAATATAACTAATTATAAGTCGAAATACAGGTAAAGTGGGAGCAAAATAGTTTGCGTAGCCAAGAATTAGCAACAAATGTTTACAGGTAAGTGTCAGGTAAGCAACCTAAAAAAGAACAGTGAATGAAATTTCTAATAAATGCCAAAATAATTTCACACCTGCTATGCTCTGTGATTGAATAGTAGAGTCATAAAATCACTGAATCAGTCTGGCAGTGTAAGTAAAAAGGTATGTCATTTATGTTAATTAGAGAAATTCATTCATTAATAATCTCTGTCAGATTTTACTCATACTAAACTTTTTTAGGTATTGTTTTATTTGTGGGACGATAACATCAGTAGCCCTTACTGCTCCATTAATGAGCAGGTCCAACAATCAGTTCATTGTATAGATGCTAGAGTAAGTTAATTCACATCACATTATCTGGGTATGTTGGTCCAACGTTGATAAAGTACCAAGTTCTACTTTCCCAGTCAGACTGATATGTTATTTCAAAAGAGAGGAGCATATTAGTTGGATTCACCTAATAATCGAGTTTCTCAAATGTTATGTTACCACACAATCGGACTAGAATGTTCTGTATTAAGAAAACGTGCTACAAAGATGTGCTCTGCTCATTAGCTAATATTACAGATGTTGACAGGACTATTGTTAATTCCCATCAGATTGTCTTTTGGGACTTTCTTTATTTTTCACAGCTGATAATTAAGAAAACTAAATGATGTAAATCTATTACATTTAAAAGGATACAAAGAAATATTTTCTTAACGTTTCCTAATTCTGCAAGTCATCATCAGTGTTTTAGGGTCATCCCAATCATCTCAAAGCTGAAACCCTCAGGTCATTGGTTGAATTATTTGCAAAATACCAAAGTGAAAGTTACTGACTCAATTTTTGAAGATTTTTTTTATTGTTTCCAAGGTTTTGATTTAAGTCCTTGTGATAAGCAGTCCAAGTTACAGCACTAGTCTTGGACTGATATCACAATATTTATTTCTAATCCAGTCAGGGCTGCATTTTTTCCAGTTTAATGGTGATACTGCAGAATGTCATTAAAATGTCTGGATAGAAAATGAGTCACAGATATAATGATAAAAAGCTTAAAAAACACACAAACAGTATCATCCACCCGTATAAAAGGTTCAGGGTGTGAAAATGTTTTCCTTTTAAAAAGGGTTTTAGGAATGTCAAGTAATCTGTGAGCAAACTAAAGGAGAAAGGGAACAGGCAAGGCTGCCATTGATGAAGTTACAGGAGGTGAAACTTTGTTTCAGTTCTGCTGGTGTGAACACAGATTGGTTGGCCTGGAGTGCTTTGACACAAGCAAGCAGTGGCACTTGGTGTCTCCTGGCATTACCAGAAGCCCAAATCATCAACAGTTTTTTTTTTTCCATTTTCTTTAGCAGCACATTTGACCTCCTTTATTCCAAGGCTGCAATGCATCTTTCTTATTTGGAATTGGACTGGTGACATAACAGTGAATCCATTCTGTGTATAAAGGCTAAGACGGTGCATTTCACTTCTTTAGGTCCTTTTTTTTTTTGGTACTTCTTGATTAAATTTTACATCAAAAGTCGTCTCTAAATATTCCTTTTCTTACCAACCGAAGTCCATTTTCCCAGAAACCTTCATGAAACATTTGCAGCCAAAGACGTCACATGTGTAAAACAGAATATAGTATTTGTAACTTGACTCTGTTTTGATGTGCATTGAATAGAACTTTCAAAGCAGCATTTACTTTTTACCATGTTGTTATATTTGCTGTAAAGCCAGTACAGACAGCCCAGATTTCAAACTATTTCACATCTCTCAGTCTATGACCATTTGACTCTGGTGAACACATTGCCAACATGTGGAAATAAAAACCCACCTCTCCACCTCCAGCTGGAGCTCGTGGCCAAGCTGCTCGGTGAACTAACCTTTTTCCCTCTGGACGTTTCTCAATGGAGCAGTCACAGCAGCTGTGGGTGTGCAACTGTGTGTGTTCCCATTGGATGTTCATTGAGGTCATCAGAGTCAACTCTTTCCTGAGCTGTGCACAGACATCATCGTTGTGAGCTGCAGATATCACCAGCAGAGTAAACATCACTTCCCCTCCGCAGCAGATTGTAGGACGATAGAAAGCAGGAAAAAGTCTTGAATGAAGTAGCAGCAGGGGCCTGGCCTAGGATTTCAAAAAGGATTGCACTCTAATTGTGGCAGAATCCATCAAAGCCTCCCGCTTGGTTCTGCAAGAGAGAAGCAATGTGCAAAGGATTAAATATTAGCTGATAAAAACATTAAATATTTAATGAAACTTTTGGTCATTAACAGCACTATACTATAATGTGAACTTAAGTAATAAGTAACTGAATTGGACCACCTAAAAAATTTAGATCTCCCTATAGGCCATTGTTTTCTTAGCTTGGTCAGCTCATAATAATAAAATATTAATAATTTTGTCCTTCTTTCTTCCCACAGTGAGGACATTTACAGTGCAAGTCTTTACAACTGACACAGGAGGCACCATTAAATACGTGGTTGCAACTCATAGGCTGCCACAGCGGAGGTGCCATTAGGGATATGTGGTTCCTCTGGGAATCAAACCCAGGACTCTCTGCACTCTGCATGCTAACTGCTACACTGTGTAACCACAAAGAGCCAGGCGTTGTGGCGAAAACAAAACTTGGGTTCAGCTGGAGGATGATAGATTTTAATACGTGCGAAGGATATTTACAATGTGCTAAAATGTTTCAAAGATTTGATTGAAAAGTTTTCTGAAAAAGAGAGAAAAGAGAAAACGGGGAAACTAATCCACTATAAGCATCCTCCTGTCATTTGAGGTGAATTCCTTCAAGACTACGTTAAATTTCTGTGGCTGCAAACGTATTATATGTTGGAGTTTAGGCAATAATTGTCCAATTCCCCCAAGTGCTTTGGTTTAGACCTGCAAGGCATTCACATAATACAAGATGGCAGCACAGATGGGCACACATGTGCAAACATGAGCATTGTCACACACTGTTACTTTCTTAATTGGTGTGAGAAGAAGCAGAGACCAAGAGCTTCAGTAGATAAAAGAACAAGAGCTTGTTATTCTGTAAATGAGAATATGGGATTGCAGTCAACTTTATGTTTGCTGATAGCAGAGAAAATAATGAAGAAACAACGAGGCTCAACATCTGACAAGCAATTAGGGGCTTTGGAGGAGCGTTTAGGAATCTGGCCTGGACCCAAGAAGCACAGCAGCAGCTGTCAGCAACTCCCTCCAAAAATCACAATGCTTCCCAGATTCTCTGGCTCTCCGTGCAATGGCAATAATGGACTCAATGCCGGAGTCCAAATTAATCAGAGCTGAGATTGAGTAGAGGAGAAGGAATAAGTCAGCAGAGGTGAAGTGTGGTCAAATGTGATTGTCTCAGAGATCAGTGTTAATCAGACCTGGTACATTTTCTGTGCTCATGGTGTCAGCACTTTTATTTGCCACTGTTGCAGATTTTACTCTGCCTGTAAACATGACCGTTATTGGTTATGGTTGTCAAACTCCCTGCTCCTAGTTCAATAACTGCAACTCTATCACCGTCTGTCAATGTTTTGAAAATTGTTTTTCGCATGGCCCACCATTTGGCTGCGTTTTGGGGCAGTGGTGGCTTAGTGGTTAAGGAAGCAGACTTGGGTCCGAAAGGCTTCAGATTCGAGTCCACCAGCTGCCAAGTTACCACTGAGGTGCTCTGACCATGGTCCCCACACGCTGCTCCCCGGGCGCTTAAAGCTGCCCACTGTTCACTTTGGTGATGGGTTA